TTTCGCATCTTCCCTCATCGCTCAGGGCACGCTGCAATCCTCGACCTTTCGCTTGGTCTTGGTCATTTGCCGATCGCGTATTCCCTGGTCCTTGGCCCTGCCCTGCTCTTACTGTCGCACAGCGCCTGTCTCGTCGTTGCTGTGCTTTCGTGGTGCTGCATCGCAGTTTCAGCTCGCCTAGCACGTGCTTTCAGAGTACACAGAACGCTGGATTGGGGACCTGCTCCATCGAGCAAGGTAACCTTCAAGGAGAGGAGCTGGATTGGCGTGGCTGTGCTAGGGGTCACCGTGATCTTGTTGCTTCCCTACCAGTTTGCGTTCTTGGCAAGTACGCTTCTTGTAGGCTTTGCTGCTTGCCGCAGTCACGCGACGCAAGCGCAGCTTCAGCGGGACAAATTTGCACGTCAATCCGCATCAGCATTGGCATCTGGCACCGTCATCGAGGGATCAACACGGGGTGATGGCACCGCCGATTCCTCCCTTCACAGTCGAGAGCGAGCTAGACAGCACTTTTTGCTGCTCAATATACTGCTTTGGCTCTTGCCCCTCAAAGCTCCTGTCCTCCTCGTATGGGCCCGCAACCTTGGCGCTGGGTGGGTCGCTCCGCTCGGAGGGCCAGATCACAACGTTCTACGCGTTGCGCCTGTATTGATCCTCGCTCAAATCATCACGAGCGGAAGATCGATCGAGAGAGGCTGGGCTTGGTGAGTGCTGCGCTTTTCTCGCGCTTACACTACTGATGCTCGCTAACCTGCCGCCGTCATCGCCAACGCCCTCACGCTTGCAGGTGGGAGAAGGCGGCCACGGCGACACTCATGAAAGCTCTAGCCGTCTACACTCTGGCTTACGGCATCAGGCATGCCTACCAGCTCTACACTATCGCCGTACTAGGCGTCTTTGTCTCGATGCTTCTCATCCACGTGTGGAGCCGGTACCGCATTTCGAGAGGGTCTTTGCGATCGTCTGCGCCTGTGGAGATGTCCTCTGGACGTGGCCAGTATGAAAGGCTGCAATGACATATGTATCATGGACAGCACGATGTTGAAAGGGAATACCATGGGCCTGAGTGCTTGAAAAGGGCGA